GTTGCATTAGAGACGGTATACTTACGATCTAAGAATGATGCCACAATGCAACAGGATGCTGAAATAGAGTATAAGTTGTACAGATCTTCATGATATTCTTACAGCATGTTATGAACGAACAATACAGTTAGATATATGTCACGTTACGAGTTAATTCGTATTTATGAATTTAATGGGAGCCAGGGTAGCTCAGTAGGTATAGTGAGTGGAATACGGGTTCCTCGACCAGCAACTGGGGATAGATTCTCTACAGAGACAAGAGATTCGCCCCTCTTCCGTAGTGCCTAGGCCAGTTTCGGGGCCTTCTCAGTCTCCTGTCTAACGGGTACCGGTGGGGGGGGGGGTATTTCCCCCGAGTGTAAAGTGACGGGAGCGTGAAGCTGACTACTCGCCTCTAGTGCCGCGGTTAAGAATGTGTGCAGGTACACCTCCACTCCCTCCTACCTCTTCATGAGGTACTGCTTAATTAAGAAGCAGTGATAACTTTGCCTTTGCTTATTTAATTTATGGTTTGACATTGTTAGTAGCTCACACAAGGCCGCATATACATACTGTAAGAAGGTCAATTAATATGTAATGCACCGGAAAGGGCTCGAAAGTTAATAGTCGCGACCTAATTTTAACTAATACCCCTGCATTTGTTTGAAGGGAGTAAGAACCAGCCTGTCTCCGAACCGCGATATGAACCCAGGAGTACTATCTACTCGAACAAGGCATTCGATAGAATCGATATTCGGTGGTTAGATACGAGGATATTTCGACCTATCCGTACTAATTATCATTGCTTATACGCCAAGTGCGTTGCGTACTTCACACGTCATTGCCAGGAAATGACCCGGCTTCTTTTTAAGGCGATGACTCAACTGTCGCCGCTAACCACAGTTTCAACATGGCCGATGTCATCGTGACGGCAGGGCAGTTACCCCATATTTCTCAAATTAAAAAGACTCTTTGAGTTCATTACCCGGTTACCGAGCAACATGGCTCACGGCGAAACGTTTCTGCTTTGTATTCGGGAGGTATCCGGTTCGAACCTCGGCCAAACAATGGCTATCAAAAGTTTCTTTTGTTTGTTATGAGGTTCCTTTAGGCAAATACAGGAGTACTACCTCAAATTTGGCAGAAACCGCTTCCTACCACATCATTTCCGATTCATTATTTAATATCATCCAATCATCCTATGATAGTCTGGGTTACTGACAGCGTCATTATACAAACTACAAAAATTAAATATTATTCAACTCAATTTAAGTCGTGGGACGGATGACACAGGATAGATTTTCGTGAGTCACGGGCGTTTTCATGCTATTATTCCTAGCGAACAAAATAAAAACATTTCAGTCGTCGCGACCCAATATTCTGTCTTAGACGTAATGTAATCCTTTAAAGCACAGTGGTTTCTATATGCACCGCCTGCTTAACATTTAAAAACTCTGCATTCTGCCCACACAGTGTATTTATGTGTTCCGTATGGTTCTCACAGTAAACAGCGATCATTTCCCTAAACAGCATTAACCGGTTGGGCGTTGTTATGGAGACGAAGTGAGTTCCTGTGAGGTACGGACTTCAAGATACTAAAACTCTGCATTCTGCCCACACAGTGTATTTATGTGTTCCGTATGGTTCTCACAGTAAACAGCGATCATTTCCCTAAACAGCATTAATCGGGTGGGCATTGTTATGGAGACGGAGTGTGTTTTCTGCGAGGTACGGACTTTAAGATACTAAAACTCTGCATTCTGCGCACGTCAGTCTTTATAAAGGGTTCAAATGCCGTATAGTAACCTACATGGTTTCACAACCCGGAAGACAATAACCATAATACCGAAAACACTGCTCCCAACAGTTCCTCTATTGTTGTGTGTTGATTCGTTGCCGCGGAAACATGTTTACTGCGCCGTTGCCTAGCAATTTATACATCTTCTTGTTAAAATATTCCGGTTTCCAGTCATCGTGTAACAATATTAAAACGTACACAAGTGTAAGAATACAATTCTTGAAGAACAAGATGGCTTGATTTTACTACTGCGCAACTACATTCTTTTTAAATTGATTACTGGGATCCAAGATGAAAAAGGTTGAGGAGAACAGCAGAGTGAGGTAACTCCAATCTAATCCAGTCATATGTAATCATATATATACATTGACAAAAGAACAGAAACAAAAACTGATAAGTACTTGCAAAGCTTTAGGTAGCTTACTTCTGTTATGCATGTTTCATGTGTTATGCTAAACCTGTGGTGATATATTCAAAACTGATTTTTGTCTTGTTGTTGCCTTATGAATTTAATAATCTCAGATTATAAATATAATATATCAGTTCCTGACAAGAATGAACGCATGTGAAATAAAACATACAATTTCATTTCTACAGTGATTTCAACATTGGTATCAGATGTCGCAGTTGAGTTGTTTGGGCCCCAACTTTGAATTTGAAAGGTCTCACGTTTAAATCTCAGTCCAGAGACTGGCTTTCCTGACTGTGGCTTCTGAAGTCAGAGTCTCAATTATTTCACGACTGGCAGTTTACCACCAATCAGTTCGTTTTGGTGACAAGCCCCTTGAGATTCAAGAACAGTAAGGGCGGTTGCACACCAAATGCATCAAGACATGAGACAAAAGATGCAGTCTAGCTTCATTCGTGATTCGTTAGCATCATGACTCAGACCTGTGTGCGGCTGTTTTCATAATCTCATTCATTTCAACTGTACTCCTTTCTTTGCGTCTTGTCGCAGACATCGTGTCTTGACTGTTACATGTCTTGACGCATGCCAGTATGCGGCCTACCTAACATTCCTTTCCAAACAAACAAACGCAGTCATAGTCCTTATGTAACATCCTCTCTGACGAGAGGATGGGTCTGTTGTTTAGAATTGTTGCTGGACCTCGCCAGCACAGTCATTCTGAGGTCCAAGTCCTCCGGGACTCATGACCACGTTTTACTGTCTCAGATTCGGGACTCCCCCAACCTGGAGCGCCAGGTCCCTGTCTTCATATCGCCCCAGGAACAGGGTGACCCGGTTATACCCCCAGTCACTGGGTTCCCTTTTCACCGCCTCCTACGACTCACAATGCTACGGTGGAGATATTCAACCCCACCTCCACACAGGATGGCTTTTGTAGTTGTTCTCAGTCCTTCATAAAAGTACCAAGAGAGTACCTCAAAGTAGGCAAAACCATTTTCTTCCATACCCTTTCCAACCCCTTATTCAGTATTCATCTTACCAGTCAACAAAATATAATCTGACCTCCTGAAGTTTCATTAAATTTAATACAACAGATATACAAATAAATACAATAATTCATCAGTAACAATAATTATAACGATGATTCTTTTAAGTACAAGCCCAAATTTGAATCCTTCTTCAATATAATAACATAGGGCAGTGAGACACTGAGGCTCCCACATTTTGTCTAGACAGTTGGCTCACAGATGGCAGTAAGTTTGTCAGCCTTATTTGCTGGCCGACCTTTACCCTCCAGGAAGATTCCTGTTACTCATATCTGTTGGAGGCTGAGTCGACCCCAAGGCCATAGTATGGTTGGAAGGATTAGGTAAATTGAAAAATCCACCTCACTGGCACTCGAAACACAAACCATTACCTAATCCCACCACGTCATAGGATCCTTAGCTAATTCAGCCCAGATCACATCCTTGAAGTCTGTTTCTCTAATGTACATTCTAATACCATCCCTCAACTTGAGTAAGCTTTCGAATGATTTCCCTATCAAAAATTCTGTAGGCATTTCTTGTCCATTTCATACAAGCTACAGCTGTTTATAATTTAGAATAATGTGGAACTACAACTAGAACAATATCACAAACTCAGAGGTCAGGTTAAAGTCTGTATCCTGGTAAATAAACATCTGGGCATCAGTTTATCCAGTAACATGCTTTTCTTCTTCTTGTACTTCCACATCACAATATTTATATGAATATATTCAATGCTGTGCTCCTCTGCCAAGATTTTACCTGTGGAGTGAGCCATTCTTTCATAAAAGCTGGATGTTAGTACTTATTACATTCAAAGTGTGGGGGGGGAGACAATATGGAACAATTGACAGTAACTGTATTTTTCAACTCTTTCAAGTTCTAACAACTTACACTTTATACACCTCTGCAGCTGAGTGGCATCCACTTACTTATGGAGCTGAGCCCTTCTTGAGGAGAAGCCAAATCTGCAGCTACTCAAGAATTTCCCAGCATTTTATGGAAGATGAAGGTTTATTACCATGTTCACACGAGCCCTCCACTTGTCCCTATCCTGATCCAGATCAATCCAATCCATTCCATCCCATCCTATCTCTCTAAGATCCATTTTAATACTGTTCACCCGCCTACGCCTTGGTCTTTCCAGTGTTCTGGCTTTCCCACCAATATCCTATATGCATTCCTCTTCTCCCCCATTCTTGCTACATGTCCTGGCCACCTCATCCTCCTTGACTTCAGCATTCTAATTATACTTGGAGAATAGTACAAGTTATGAAGCTCCTCATTATGCAGTTGTGAGTGGCATTCACAAGAGAATAACAATCTCTTCACTTATACAGTGGCAACAGCCCATCACTTCACTGGACTGGCACACAGACACATTATAAATGTCAACATTTCAGGTGATGGGACGGGACTCACAGTGGATGTGACAAAATATTATTTTTTCCTTACTCCACATAGAAGTGCATGTACAAACATTATTTCACTTTCATGCAAAATGAGGCTCATTCTTTCATCCTTTTAATGGAATAAAGCTATCAGAAAGTTTGTTCTTTTTAGACATGAAATTCAACACTAGTGACTCACCACCTATTTATGCAATGGGATAACCACCATCAACCGTGATCTGCCAGTGTCTTGACAATGACGACTTGTGAGCCACTATGTCACAGTCCTTTGAAAAATGGTTTGATACTTCATGTAAACTGAGCCCAAGATTCAGTAAGGCATGTAAGAAAGAGCCTTGCATCAAATAACATTATCAGCCTTGAGAGACAGTACTTACCTAGTCCCATGTAATGGAAGAGTTGAATTGGTTTGATTTCTTCCAACTCACTATCATTCACTGCTGGTTTAGTCTTCAAAGGGGATGCTGGAGATGTAGATTTGTTGCTTGGTTTGTCAGGTTCCACAGCCGCAATTGTCTCTGGTTTCAGACTTGGACCCGGAACAACTGCAACTGGTTTGAGAGGTTCGGGAGCACTTGGGGTCAATTTAGGTTGGGCCAAGGCAGGTACAGGTGTGGGCTCATCCTTGGGTTCTGGTTCCTCTTGTGAAAGCAGATCATCTTCCTGGGCACTGAGAGAAGACTTCAAAGAACCAATTTCATCAGAAAGTTTTTCTTTGTGTTCAATATCTGACTTCAGTGGGTTCAGTGGAATATCAGAACCTTTAATGTCTTCATGAGAAATGGAAGAAGCAAGGTCATCAGTTGGGTAATTCTCAGATGGAAGATTACCAACATCCAATTCAGGAACATCTGTTTGTTTTGATTCAGATTGTATGAAATCCACATCTTCTGGGAACTTGCTATGAGTATCTTTATGGCTGCTAGTCCCTTCTGTTAAGATGTCCTTTCGTTCTGTATCCATAAAGGCCTGGGAGAGTTCTTTTTGATTGCTTAACTTACCAATATCAAATTCTGACTCAAATTTTGAATCAAGTTTTTCACCTCCTGAAATCAGTGACTCGGTTTCTGGTTTAACAGAAGTTTCTGTTGAAAATCCTAACATATCGTGAGGTTGCCGTGAAAACGACATCTCTCGAAATATTTTAGAGTATTCAGCAACATCACTGGCACTCAGCAATGACTTTCGAGAACTAACCAGAGTGTCGGCAGCTGACCTGCGCTCTTCATCTCCAAACTGCAAATTATATTTGTCATCCAAGGTAGATTCAAGTTTTGGTGCTGGCTGGAATGAGAAATCTGACGTGTTTTGGCTTACCCCAGAGGCAACGTGACTTGTATCAGTATCAACTTCCAGCTCCTCGCCTGGTGGCTTTTCCTCCTTATTCTGCGGTCCTTGCTCTTGAAACTCCTTCACAGGCGACGATTCCGGTTCTAAGTGCTCAAAATCGTCAATCGACTCGTTATCCCTGTGCATTTCTCTTCCTTCAGTTGCATGGGAGGAACTAATTTTGCTCACCTGCTCTTTAAAATCCTCGCTTTGCAACTTCGTGGGTTCCATGTTGGAAAATTAAATACACCAACTATTTATCACAAATTGTTTCACAGTGAACACGGGAACACTTTTATACCGCAGCGGACAAAATTTTACGACAAAATATTCTGCTCCGTGAGCTGGGTCTGTCAAATGTCACAAACAAGAGCCGGCAAGATCACGCACTCCCTCTAGTAGGATGAGTCACAAGGAGGGGCAAGAAACAATGTCAAAACAGCGACTTTGATTTACATATTGTCACATAATTATGATAAAGTGAATTACTGTATTGTATTCCATTTATTTCTATTTTTAAATAAGGTAAACTACTTTTGCACTAAGTTATGTATATATTTTTGCCTGCAGCATCCAAACCGACTTCGCGCTTGCGCATAGTGCATTATCGTCAGTTATGACTCCAAACCCCCGACAGCGGCGCTCGCGTAACATATTTGCGTCTAACATGGCAGCAAATGGTGTTGTGTGTTCTTCGAAGAAGAAGATACAGAACGGCAAACTAATCCTCAAAGAAGTGAATGGGAAACAGAATGTATTTTCAGAACAAGCCAAAAATGCACAGTTGTTGGTACGTACTAAGTTATGGAAATTCAGCGTAAATATCACATTGTGGGAAGTGTGCCTGTGTTGCTAGACATCTAGCAACCGCATCTTTAGTGGTTATTATCTGATGATATACGTGGCCCATTTAAAAGAGAGAAAGCCCAATCCAAATGCCCATTGTCCCCATTATAAAATTTCCGGTGCTGACCATTCCAATCACAGTATTTGTACTGAAAAGTATTTAAATATTTGTGTTCTTGCATGGGCCTTGCAGTTTCAGTAAGAGGGTGTGGTAAGGTGGTCCAGAAATAGTTAATTTGGTCTCATTTAGGCCTTTAAGTAATTGACATTACCACACAACCTATTAATGATAAAAGGAGCTTGCATATTGATTCATCCAAGAAGCAATTTAATAATGAACGTCATGGAATTGACTTATTACAGCTTTTCACAAAATCTTTTACTAATGTTCCATGTTTTGTCACAGTTCTTCGGATTCGTCTGAAGTTTCTTGTCACATAGTTTACAGTGAGCCATGATACAGATTTCCATGTGTTCAAAATCTGATTTCTAAGAGCAGTATCCAGTGAGTATTTAGTTTGGAAAGAGTGCAGAAGTGGACTGTGTTGCACAGAATGTTTTTTAATTGTTTCGAAATTTTCGAGATGCATTAGATCCACCGTCTCGAGAGGAAACGTTTACAGGCTGTAATATCCTCACATGTTCTTGGGGAAACTGTATGCCCCTACTCCTGTTTTTTTTTTAATTCTACTTTTGCAAATAAATTGAAAGGAAAATGTACAGAAAAGAAAATAATGTGGAAGGAAACAATCTGATATCCCTTAATGCCCAAAGATCAATTATAAGACTTAAAAGTGCACTCCAGGAAATCTTTATAGGGCAGGGTGCCTCTAGTTTGGTAGAAAATCAAAACCAGATGAATTTGGAGTATATGGATAAAAAGAAGGGAATACCACAAGAAGGAATTTGGAAAGTATGTTTTTACAAGATAGTAGAGGTAATTTGAAGTGAAGATTTTATTTAACGGCTTAATGTAGTGTTTAGCATCCATTGTTTGTATTTTGGAGGCCTTGGATTTGAATCTCAGCCCAGAGGCAAGTCAGCTGATTGAGACCCTTAGTTTCTTATTTATTCTGCCTCATCAAATCCAGAAATAGAACCTGTAATTTCTTTCATGGGTTTTCAGTTTCTCATTGGTAGTTATGCTACAATTGATATTGTATAACGTATGCAGTTAACAGAGCATCATCAGAGGGCCGCGCCATAGCTCAAGCGGTTAGTCCCTGGCTTCCCACCGCGGCGGCCCGGGGTTGATCCCGGGCCTGGTCAAGTGGGATTTGTGGTGGACAAAGTCGCGTTGAGACAGGTGTTCTCGAAGTACTCTCAGTTTCACCTGCAAATCTTCATTCCACCAATTGCTCCACAATCACCCTCGCCTATCATCTGGGGCTGGTACAATAGGCCAGAAGTGGCCCACCCCACTAGCATTAAAAAAAAAGCATCATCAGAGAGAACATGGTGACTGTTTATTACACTACATGTTGTACTATGGTACTTTATGTTGTAACTGATATTACAGGAGACAAAATCTTCAAATGGCAGACCTCCAAAGAAACCTGACAGATCAAAAGAAAGCTTTGAAGAGGTTCCTTTGTATACAGCGGTGATGACATATCTTGGATTTTATCTCCTCATGTTCCTAGGCTATATAAACCAGTTGTTCTTCACCCCTAAAGTTGCAATGGAGAGGAACAGAGATGTGAGTATTTTTGAATGTCAGCTGTTTAGCCTTGTAAGTCTGACTGTAAAGAAATGATTTGAAATAGATTAGGCCTTTATAAGAAGCAATACAGGTGTTATATTATGTTATAATTGTTCATATATGAATGTGTAAAGCAAAATGGATGATATCAGTTACCTAAATAAAACACTGGAATGTTGCTTGTAATTGTCCTGTGAAGTTACTACAAGTAGAAGATGTTTGCTGCTTGCATGATTATCTGTGGCCTTATCTGAAGAGATAATTTGCAGTTTATAAGTGATAAAGAACAGTAAAGTGTTGAGAGTAGGGTATGTAAATAAACTCTGATGTAATGTGCAGGGCTGAACAAATTGTCTCACAAAATATTCATTGTTATATCCAGTATTTTATGGATGATTATTTTTGAAATTCTTGGAGTGTAGTTCTTAGTCACTTATCAGATTATAGTTTCAGCTGATGACAAAACCGGAAATATTTCTGTCAAAACTACATCACAAATAGGAAGAAAATTATGGTCTGTTACATTATCATTATAATTAAAGTGATTGGCAAGATGGAGGTGGTAGGATGTTTCTCGTAAAACATAATTTTAATGCACCTTTATGTAATATTTCCAGTTTTCACAAAAGAAACAGGTTCGTGGCAGTGTAACTTGTTATGACTGATGAATGTTTGAAAAAATTAATTTTTTAAGCATTGCATCATGATGCATATATACAGTGAATGTATACAGTTTTTACCATCAGTGCAACAATAAATGAATAATAAAGCATTGTTGTGTTGATGGTAAAAATTGTATACATTCATTGAGAAAAAAATGTCATATATGTTAGTTTACTTTCACTTCAAGTTTTTTGTGTGGGCATGAGATTTGAAATTGTCAAGGCAGTGATTATGAAGCTTACTGTCTTCTGGGATTTGATCCTGTGCATTGTGGTAGATATTTACTGACTTTTTTTTTTTTTTTTTTAGAAGAAATCTACTACCATGAAGATGGAGGTACCAGGTTTTGCTGAAACACTGGTAAATATCTACCAGACTATATAACATCACATCCCAGAAGGCAGTAATATTTTAAGGTTGTGGTTTTCATCAGTTGAGTTTATTCTAAACCGATAAGTCAGTCATAAAGTAACCACTGTTTTGTGGTTTCTGAATTAACACTGAAATGTGGGGTAACACTGGATTAAATTCGTATGACATATAACTGGATTGGATTATGTTATGCCCTGTTTTTCAGGGCTATGTGCCATTATTTGACAGATTTGAGTCCTTCTACCTGCGCTATGTATACCGACGGGTTAGAGATTGTTGGAACCAGCCAATTTGCGGAGTTCCGGGAGCAGAAGTTATTCTTAAAGACAGGATTACAAAAGATTATGGATGGACTTTTGAGTAAGTACGAAATGGGAGCTGATATTAACATCCAACTGATTCATCAAACATTAGTATCTGTATTTTCATTTCCAGAGATCCTTACTGGCTATCAAAGCCATTGGATATAGAACATGTCACAATTTACATGTATTAGTTCTGAGAACTAGTGATTCTTGATCTGTTACTTTAAAAACATATAGATATTGTGATCACATATCAATCATGTAAGATTTGAGGCTTTCACGGCGGTGACTATGAAGAAAGCAGTCTTCTGGGATTTGGCACCGTGTATAAGTGGTGTTAACCGACGTTTCGGAGGAACGTATCGCCTCCATCTTCAGGGTAGAAGAAAATATAAGAATTCTGCAAGCGAAGAGACCGTGAGAACCGGTAGAAGCAGTAGTCTGCAGTTAACCGACATTTCGGAGGAACGTATCGCCTCCATCTTCAGGGTAGAAGAAAATATAAGAATTCTGCAAGCGAAGAGACCGTGAGAACCGGTAGAAGCAGTAGTCTGCAGTTAACCGACATTTCGGAGGAACGTATCGCCTCCATCTTCAGGGTAGAAGAAAATA